TCACTTGTTGTTTACACAAAATGTTCGACTGTGTTGTAGTTGATATCGTGTGTTCAACAACGACGTCATCCAGTTGGATTTCAACTGGTTCTTCGTGTTTTTCCTCTTTTTCTCCTTCTTCTCCTTTTCCCGCTCTAATAGCAATTATTTCAGTTACTCAAATGAATGCTCCGATTTTATTACAGTATCTTTACTGTTGTTAAGTGTATTGACGATGTGAGATCACAAGTGTAGGGATGGATCTCCATCACCTTCTTGATACAGATTTACATTTAATGAGCTGCAGGTGAATTTTACTGGGTTTTCTCATAATATTTTGGTCCGGCCGCCCCTACCTTTCTTCCAACCTACTACTATACCACTGAACATCGCACATCGAGGCAGCACAATTCAATCTGTAGCAACATGTTGATTGCAATCACACACATCACATTGTAACTCATTCTGAATATTATTGATCATTATTATTGCTATTGTCACTGTTATTTCTCTCATTATTCCACAAACTGTTCGATTAATGGAACATACTCATCAATTTTAATACACACTTCATTTAGGACTCACCACACCGCAACAACAGCAGAAGAAGCAGCAAAAACAACTGCAAGGTAAGTAAAATGCATTCACACGTATCAAATATGACAGTCTTCTATTTTCATTCACTACAATAAACAATACTAAGTGATCAGTGTATATTTGAATCAATAAGAATTATCATGTCACACATTTACAACGATCAATACGATGAATCCACGAACTGTAAACGTTCAATTCACAACTACATGGAACAAGCACCAAGGTCCTCATGTCTGACAAACGAACACATTGAGGAATATTGTTGTTAGATTTTTACAGAACGAGTGTTGATTATCAGATACCTGGAAACTCACAGACAGACGAACAAAATTCGTCCACACAATTCTGTCACTCATCATCAACAATCTAACACAATTCACAATGATGTTCATTCACTTGATACATAAGTGATCATATCGTCAATTCGTCAGACGACTTCGTCCAACACATACTAATATTGTGAATGTATAACATGCAGACTATTATTTTCATGAACCCATTGCGCGTTTTCGTTTAGGCATTACCATGTGACCTCAACTCCAAGGTAAGTACACAGTTCTACATGTAATAACATGATGGTGTATTGTTCCATTTCTACTCAAATAACCATCAATCAAAAAGTGTAGTTACATCAACAATAATTGATATGTTGAGAAGAAGCTATTGTTGAAGCAGAACTCGCTGTTCGAATTTGAACTGTGTTCAATAAACTATAAGAATTTCCAATTCTCAACATCACACAGATTAGATGTGATGTGATGTGTCAATGATGCATCATTGAATGACTGTCACTGAACAGACAGCTATCAACAATGAACATAAGTTTATCCTCCCATGCTTTCAATTCATTTTCAATTTACATATAAACTTGATTCACACAGACAGTCATATGATATCGATTTACTTTCATGCTTACACATCTCGTTTGAGCATAGCGATACTTGATTTTCGTCGTTTCACTGAGTATATGTCTATTTGCTTAAAATTTCATGTAGCTAACTTTCTACTTTTGATTGGATAATTTAATTTTTTAGTTGTTTATTTATCATCACCATTCTGTTGCGTTCCTGTGTAATTCAAGGGAGTTTTACGTGTATTCGGAAAGTTCATTCTGTTGACATTTTGAATAAACAGTATGATCTTCTTGTCTCGTCGACTCAACACAGAATGATCGGTTATATTTTTCTCTTAAGACAACTAGGACCCATTATAAAATGATTGATAACCAATCAACATTTAACTTTAATCCATGCAACTCTTAGGTTCCCCTTCGTCACTTCTTTTTGCACACTTCAAGAGGTATTTTTTTACTTGCTATGTCACTTCAATACATAATGATAACGTCGATAGGATTTAGTTAACAGTCTTTATATTGTTAGTGAATAACACGACATACTTTTCCATGATTGTTATGGTTATTATCACATTTGTTTTAGCCACACTACTAAAGCCGTACAAAAGAAGTAAGTGTTATTAATAAATAAAGTGTAAATAGTATACATGCACTTAGTTGATTGTCTATACAACACATGACACAATTGTATGTATAAAATCAAATTTTCTCAAGTTCCTCTGAACTAGTTCAATTGTAATATCTGCAAATTCACTGTTAGGTGATGTAGATAAGAATTTCTATCAAGATATCAGTCAAGTTCAGTTCGTAAACATACTCCATCATCAACTATGTTGGTGCAGTTTAGTTCTATGGGTTGGATGGTTGAGTTGTAAAACTTTCATTGTTTTTTTTCGGAAAAAACATCAGAACAAATTTATGGTAAATTTAGATCATTGAAATTTAGAAATTCCATCAAAATCAGTCACTTCAGCTACAAATCTTCCCCATCACTTCATCATTATGAATAGATTCATGCAAACGCATCAATCAACTTCAATCATCCAAAGTGGTTTATAAAGATATTGAAACACTATTTGCAGCGATCATGTCTCAGGTCTTACAATCAATATTACTTCGTAATTATTAGTGTTATGATGTGAACTCGTATACTACTTGTTTTCTTTTATTGGGAGGAGATAGTACAGATTGACTTTCATATTGTTATAGCTGGAGGTTAGATTCTTGATATACCGTATACAACTCGAGCACTCAGGTGCTAGATTCCTCCAAGTCACAAATGAGAAGACAGAAGACAAGTGAAAGGAATGCTATTCTAAACAGTGTCAAATATGGTACAAAATCCTCAGTTATTTAAAGTTTCTAGTTAAAACGAAATCATCATTATCGTCATCCAATCTGCATACAGAGGGTTTTAGTATTTGTCCAAAAGGGAAGCTACACATTAAGATTCTGGAATATTCTTCCGAAAGATGATTGGATGGAATATTTTCGGCACTTTATGAGATTCTCAAAGATTCCCCGAGTTCATTCATTGACCGGTCTCATACATATATTTATCAGTATCTTTACCAAGTCCATTTTTATCGTTGGTATTTCTTAATGATAGATCCCATTTGGTTTACTATTCAAAATCAGCAATCACTTGTGATAATTAGAAGTAGTTAAATTATAGTATGAACTAAGAATCCCAGAGATACCGTAATCGGATCAAGAAGTACTAGATAATCACAAACGAATGTATTGTATTTAGAATTTGAAATCAAGCATTCAACAAGTACAACGGGATCATTAGTTCATTTAAACACCACATCACTCTGTGAATATTTCATCTTAGTATGGGGTTTTTTCAGAGTAACTCACGTCATCTAAGGTTAACTCATGGCAAATACCATCTGTAAATTAAACGAATACCTACTCACGTATATACCATATGTATAATTCAGTATCTGGAATATGAATCTATTTCTTTCTTTTAGATGTTTAAAGAAAATGAAACCAAACGAGTAAGTAGAGTAAAATGATTGACAAATAATATAATAAAAATTCTTTTAATTCATTCTATTAGAGGAAATCAACAAGGGAAAACAACATGCCGTCCAATGCTTCCAGGTTTTCCATGGTGGTCTAGCTTCAATTGACTTATGGTTTCAATCTGTGTAATTTGAAAAAACCCCAAAACGTTTTACGTTATAAGTATAGATGTAATCTGTATCAATCTTTGGTTTACGCAATAGTAGTATTCACCGTGAATTATGTAACATAACTGAAGGGGATATTCAATCACTCAATATGATGACAATCTATAATAACTTTTATTTTAATTGTTAGACGATTGGATTTAATTCTTCTCATTGATGAACCTTCGTATAAATGTATAGATATCTTCAGTCATTTGTATCGATTGTTTGAATCTTCAAAATGATGTTTAAGACTATCATTTATCAGTTTCTTTTTGGCATATGTTCATCTTATGCGGATTGCCCCGATATTGTCATTCTGTCAGGAGTATTAAAAACAGAAATAAGTGGTGGCTAGCAGTAGAATTTACGAAGCGACTTTTGTCCTGTTGCGAAGGCGTAAGCTGGATGTACATGTATTAAACTATTTAAGCTTAGATACCATCAATAAATAACTTTGGTTTTGTTATGTTCCATCAGATTAAATAGATTTCTCCGTAGCATCGACTTTGAAAAACAGCAGCTTTTTTACATTCAGTTAGAAAAGATTCCTGTTTGATGAGATTATACAGTGACTCAGATGAGAAGTTTTGTCTCAAATAATTGTTAAAATCAGCGCGAAACCTATATCCATGGCATATAACCGATAGTCAACAATCTCTTAATATCAGTTGAAGTGAACTGAAATATGAAGTTATTCAGTCTAATGGACACATCTCAAATCCATCGGTAACGTTTGAGTGGCCTTCATATTGTTAATTATTAACGCCACATTATTTATTTATTAGGGATCAAACAGCATAGAAACAATTTCAAATGATTATTGTTTAATTATCATATTATGGGAGAGGATAAACCAGCTTCCAGTGAAAGAGGAAATTAGGAAAAGATGTTGGAAGTGAATAGGATATACATTGAGGAAATTATTAAACTGTATCACGAGGCAAGTACTAACTTGGACTCCTGAAGGGTAGCGGAAAAGAGTAAGGCAAAAGAACACACTACATTGGGAAATAAAAGCAGACATGAAAAAGATAAATAGCAACTGGAAAACATTACTCAGAACAGGGTTGGATGGGGGATGATGGTGGACAGCCTATGCTCCTCTACGAGGGGTAACAGGCGTAAGTAATCATATGAAAAATTCATTTTAGTAAAATATTCAAACTTTTATTACATTTCAGTTTGATGAACTTAATACTTGGCTTGATTCCTCGAATGTAAGTCAAATGATGTCCTTTGTGTAAAATATATATTTACTTCATATATTTTTGTGATCTTCAACTGATTCCATTAAAAAAAGAACTCAGTTGCACTGAATAGCAGTGCTTTTCAGAATGAGAGAATGTAAAACACTCCAAAACTGACGTCTTTAGGAAATGTAAACGTTAAGATGAATAGTGTCTAGCAGTGGAATCCATGACGAGCGTTTTTTCCTATTTGGGACTCGTTAGCTGGATGTACCTGCATCTCAGAGTTGATGTTCACTCTGGGACAATGAGAAGATATAAGTGAACAATACCAAGTGAATGTAAACGTTAGTTTTAGTGTTTGAATTTCCCTATTGGTGATATTATTCACTGCAATTAATCAGTCTCTTCTGCTAAATATGCATATACTAAATGAAATGCATTGATATTGACTTTAATTATAGGTCTTTAGTATAGTTGTACTGTATCCACTACTGAAATCCAGGACATGCGTTGAATTCTATTTCAGAATGGTTAGCTGGTACCTCACCATGTCAATGTTAACATTTACAACCAAATTTGAATTTGTTACCCGTTGCCTTGAACAACAATCCTTTATTCACTAAATTACTGAATATTGATCGCTATGTAATTGTTCAGTGGGATATAAATTCATAAATACTAGTCTTAAATAAAAAACCGAAACAATTAGATTTCTCCATATAAGGCCGTGGAGATTGTTAGGTTTTTGATTTAAATCATGAATCGACTGATGTTGCTGAGGATTCCCATGCTAGGTCGAAACGGCCGTCCAGTACTCCCAGGTTTTCAATGGTAGTCTAACATCAATCGATTCATGATCTCGATCAAAAGCTAGATTTCTATTAAAATGTCCCTTTTGATGAACAAGTTATTGAAAATCCCTTTCTTACAGTTAATTCTTTATTGACAACTTCGGACGCCACTTCTACATAAGCGGCAAATCTATACTGTACAGTAAACCTTGTTACTTAAGGAGTGACCTTGAAATCAGCCAATGAGAAATAGTTATTCATAGTATAGCTTTTGCAAAAGAGCTATATAATGTGGAAGAGTAATAAAACTACACTAGATTAAAAGTTTTTACACAACTGTGACTACCTTTCAATCACTTATGCTGTAAATCATAATATTGTAACGTGAATCAACTCCAAGTTTTATTACTAATTCTGTCAAAAGCTGGTTACTAACCGTATGCCCGTAAACTCTAACTCCTAACCGTAAAAGTTTATTTCACAAAAAAGTCAGTAACCAATCGTTCTCAAATGAGAAATATGATCTAAATCATGATTTCTAAAGACAAGTCATCTTCAGGAACATCTTAAAAGTGCGTTAATACATAACATTGGTTAGCTTGATCGATTAAAGCAATAAGTATAGCATAGTTCTACTGAAAAGCCAATGAAGTTATAGTGAAACAATAGTTTTGACATGATTAATTAGCTTTTAATTGTTGAATCATTCTTAATAGGAAAGGCAAAAAGATTAGGTTTACACATAAGAGAAATCGGGCTGGTATTGTCAGTTATGACTGTATCCTTATTGTGTTTTCGTCACTAACTTCAAATTTACTATGATGCTAGATAGTAAGAATGAGCATATTTTCCCTATTTTTTGTATGATAATAAAACTCCCATATATGGAATAGAAAATTGAAATGCCCCCGCCTTCCAGCCAAATAAGTTGGTGAAGCCTAGTAGGCCCTTCCGGAGAGAAAAAGGCCACATCGAAGCACGGCACAACTAGTGGAGCTAGAATAGCTGTTTTGTAACCAGTCGGAGTTTGCCCCGTAAGAAACGACCCCGTACACTACATGCACCACTTTTGTCAGTTTTTTTGTGGTTTTTCCATCCAAGAGTAATTGTGCTGTGTTTCTCTGTGGAGTTCGCAGTCGGTTTGAGGGTAACGGTCGAGTGGGTTGATAAGCCCGATCTCTACTACCCGGGTTACCACTCACGTTAGTTCTTCGGTTATCCGTCCCACTATCCAGGAGGCATGACGCAGACGTGTGAGCCGGATTCTGCCTTCCAAAATTGAAATGACAGAAATGTAAAGTAATTGATAGTCTCGTTATTAAATACAATATTTGTGAGATGTGATGTATGTTTATGTATTTACTTTAGAAAAACAATTGAATTCGCAGAAAACGAGTACGTGATTTAAAAATAAATATACAATTTACGCATAATACAATTGTTATTATTCTTTGATATTACGAACCAATCAAGGTTAGACAACTATTGAAAAATTGAAGGCATCTTTCTGATAATCTAAAATCGACAACAATCGTAATCACAGAGGATTGGACAGTTATTTCTTCGTAGTGTGAGACTCCTCTTTAGTATGCATCTGCAACTCAAACCAATGATCTTAAGTTCAGTACTTCCTGAATGTCATCAGTTCACAGACTAAGAGATCAGTACTTGACATAAACTATAAAAATTCATCAATCTTCATAAAGCGTATATACTAATAGTAATCCTGTGCTCGTTAGTGATTAACTTTAAAATGTAGTTTCAGAGAAAGATCATGATCAATGCAATTCAGTCAAGTCGAGTATAAGATAGTCACCCACTACAGACAATGAACATTTATAGCGTAATATTATAAAATCATCATTTGTTGAAAACTGTATCCAATCATCTCTATTTGAGATGGTGGAGAAGATTTGTAGCTCAGGTGGATGATTTTGGTGGAGTTTTGTTCTATCTGAAGTTTGTGCTGATGATGTTGTTCAGAAGAACGATGGAAGCTCCACAACCAAACCATCCAGCTCAGAGAACAAAACTCCACCAAAATCATCTCTACTGTCAGATATCAAAAGTAATAAGTGATTTCTTTTTCCTTTTAGAAATCTTCAAAAGCTCGCAGAACTTTTTGAGGAATTATTCAAACATTAACTGAATGTAAAACATTCTTTTTGAACGAAAATACCAGTTAAATCGAAATTTTCTTAATACACTATCAATTCATTATTCAATAATTTGTTTTTGATAATGATAATAAATACATAATGATAATAATAATTCACTTGGTATTATTTGGCTTGTATCTTCCCATTGAGGTTTAAGACTGCAATTGATCAGTCTGTTATCGGCATATGCGCATTACCTCGATATTGCCTTAATTCACAAGCTTTTTGTAAGCAATGATGGATAGTGGCTAGCAGTGGAATCCAGGACGCGCTTTTCGTCCTATCTAGGGCTCGTCAGCTGGGTGTACCTGCATCTTAGAGAGTTGATGTTCACTCTGGGACACGAACCCAGTATCATTCGCTTCAAACGCCACTATCCATCATTGCTTACGAAAAGGTAATAATAATGTTTCATAATACCTAAACTGTTGTTCTGCTTTATAACCAGTTGATTAAACAATGAACTTGCCTCAATTATCTGTATAGAAATAACCAATTAGCATAGTTTCGGCTAAAATACAAAGTGAATAAGGCTACTATGTTTCTATACCTTATGCCACCGACTGTATTTACATAGAACATTTATGAAAAACCACATTAAGCGAAACAGCTTCTTAGTTTTAGCATGGAGTTTTTCATCTGTAACCATTCGCTGTTTTATTTTTATCCGGTAATATAAGTGAGAGTAACTTAAGTTTTTAAAAACTTAATTTATCACTGAAAAACTGGTCTGTTTTTATTTATCACTTTGTTACACATTAATAGGGTAAGATAAAAGCGAGATTACCAAGAAGAAATTGCTCTTTATGATAAACATTCAAAATGTGATTCCAATTCATTTGTATGATTAATAGAGATTGGTTGAAGTTAAACATTAACACCGTTAGATACCTGCCGGAGCAGTGGTCTAGAGGTTAAGCATTCGTGCGCGAGATCGATAGGTCCTCGGTTCGAATCTCGTGGGGGGGGGGCGGAATCGTGGATGCGCACTGTTGAATAGTTTCATACTAGGATAAAACGACCGTTCAGTGCTCCATATTTTCCATGGTGGTCTAGCATCAACTGATTCATAGATTTAATCATTAAATTAATAAAGATAACTTTATCGACTAATCAGTATCATTTGGTACATAAATCAATAAATAGCGTCCCGATGCGTCATTATTTGTAATACTGAATGATACATATTCAAGTCTAACCAAGCAGTGTTTCATTACCAGAATTTAAGAATAGTTGTCTTACATAATAAGCCTAAGTGAAATAAGGTAACCGATACTCACGAATGTCATACAGTTGTTTCTCTTAAAATCAGTCAGACTGACCACTTACTAGTTTTGCACGACCAGTATATATTGTCTTTCTTGGGTCTCTCAACATTGGAAATGGCTTATATTGTATCTTTCCGACGTTCTGTAATAGTTTCAGAATAGGACGACATTTGATAGTGAATTTTTTGACATCAGTCAGTAACTGGTTCACACTCAACATAGTTGATATCTAATGATAACGGTTTCTCACTAGAACATCTAGAATTACCTCTCAAAATCAGCACATGATCATTATCAGTGATGAAAACTATATAATTCAATAATCCTCACAAACGTTTTACACTCACAACTGATTCCTTGTCCATTTATCTTAATTTATATTTTAACTCATGTACCATCATCAACATCTATCTGGTCACAAAACGTAACACCAATAACAATTACAGTGAAAGACTATGAAACTATCGTTGTAATGAAGATAAGAGATTCATGAATGAATGCTCTATAAGGTATAATTTAAATTAAATACAAACAAGACAGATTTTTATAGTCAAACTAACTGTCCTAGAATTTAGGAGTATTACCATTTTTCATTAAACAGTAAAAGGAGAGCAGAAATCTGGAAGCATTAAACGGCTGTTCCGTCCTGATGTAGGACTCCTCAGCAGCGTACACTAACGACCCCTAACACTGGAATCGTGGAGAACAAATTATTTCATTTAACCATTTCTGTATGCGTTTATTAATTTACCGGTTCATGTGAAGCCAGATATATAAACCGTTCAACGTTTATTTTACCTACAAGTATTCGAGAACATTACATCACTTGGTTGAAATTGCTTAATAAGAAGTCCAATAATCGAAAAACTTGTAAGCACAGGTCATTCGATCAAAGCGGAATCTATGTTCAATGTCATCTACAAGGTGTGTAGAAAGCTGCCAAGGGTAGTTATATTCTGTTTTCTTACTATTGCTGAAGCACTAGATATACATCTGGAAAAACCAGAATTATGTATCCAAAGGAAACTGATACAACCTCTGCCTCTACCGTGGTCTTAATCTCTCGTAATTTTCTCCCTTCACAGCTATTTGCTTCCCTTATATCTTCTCTATAGACCTTTTGCACGTAACTGATCTGTTTTTGTTTCTATGATCTTCCTGATTACAGTTTATCTGAATTTCGACATTTTATCTTATCACGCCGGGCCTTCCCTTATCAAGTATAAGTTCCTTATTTATCATCATAATGTAAATGTATCCGCGCCTCTGCAAATTACTTCCAGCCATGCCACAAAAGGTCTCTAACCACTGGTTAAAATAATCACGTGGAATTCCTATGGTACTACTTCATTACTCTATCATCTTGCCCGAAAAGATAGAATTTGTATGTTACTTTTGATGGATTAAAACATCTAATATCCAAGGAATCCAACGATATAGTAACACAGAAAACCATAGTTTCCCCCATTAGCATGATGTCTACAATAATGAGAGTATCTTATGCATTGACTAGTTTCAAGACAGATACAGTTTGAATATTCTACAATGAATGCGGTCAACTGTCACTTTCTGTTTCAACATAAATATTGTAGATCAGTGAGTGTAGTTGGGTTTTCGGACATGAACCAATATCCTATGTTTAAGATCAAGGAAAAAACGATCTGACTTCAATATAAGTCGTATTTATACACAATCTACAAGAGTTCAAATCAGACTATTGTGTTTGAAATCTAGACTAAATCGTTCATTACATAACTTTACCCGTCAAAATGCAGTTAACTACTTTTTTTCATGTTTCATATCCTAATCTATTCAGACCTAAAATAAACACGAATTAAACCTTCAGTAACGACCAGGTCAATAAGACACATTAATGAGCATATTAAGTCTGAATTTTCATATTACAGACAGACTTTGATGGGATAACCATTGGGGATCTATCGTCCCCAACAATTTCTAACTTCAATCAACTCATAATATTTTCTGAGCATCATTCATTGAAATTAGTGACATGCTGTCTTACATACAACACAGTTAAACTCCACTGTTTACAACTCCTCATAAGAACTTCAAGAATTATTTCTCTATGTTCGTCATCAGTAAACACAAGATGATTGTTATTAGATGGTGACAGCAATGTAAACAAAAATACTAACCTGCATTATCACCGTTATATTTCACATGAAAAAATGATAACCAGAACATCAACCATACTGACGAAAATAGTAAAACAACAAAACGGATATATGTTTATTAGATTCTGTTAAGAATATTGTGGGGACGAAGCTTCTTCATTCATGAAATCCTTGTGAACCAATCACAAAACATAAAGTATTACTACTCTATGAAGATTTACATTTTAATATTCTTTCCATTATTTCTTGAATTATCTCATCACGATTTGATAAATCAATCTGAAAGTAAGAAAAAAATGCTTCTTTTCTTTTTGGTAGTAGAAGTGTGTTCTATTGATACAAAATCAATAATATAACATTAGAAGAAAAGAAATTTAATTATATTGTATTTTATAGGTGAGGCTATAATTTATGGATGACCTTTGAGAGACCCTGAAGCGACCTTGAGAGTAGACAACTACTGATTAAGTTTTTGATTGAGATGATGAACCGATTGATGTTAGACCACCATTGAAAACCTGGAAGCACTGGACGGTCGTTCCGTCCTATTGTGAACTCTTCAGCAGTACGCATCCACGATCCTGCTCGCGGGATTCGAACCCAGGGCCTTCAGTCTCGCGCGCGAACGCTTAACCTACTGGACCACTGAGCCGGTATCCAATAGTGTTAATATCTAACCTCAACCAATCCACGAAATTGCTCGACCATCTTCCATTGTACTGAGGTAGACACCTGTTTCTACCCGACACAAATTAGCTCCACTGGTCACGGCTTCTCACCAGAACTCCGAGAATTTCCTCACGAAGCTAGTCACTAGTGAGTACATGGTAATTATCAGTTTAGGGGTTGTGGAGATTGTTAGGTTTTTGATTGAGATCATGAACCGATTGATGTTAGACTAAATGAGGGTTATAAAGCAGCTAGAATTCTCATTTACAGTTGATGGTTAAGGTTAGGAATTAGATTTAGGGTTTTCATCATGAACTGATATCAGCTATAATGCAAAAATTCAGGACTCGTTATCTTATATCTAATTGGTTGGTCAATAAATTAAAGTCTCGCCGTTAAATATATACGATTTGTAGCGTCAGTTACTATATTAAGCCTATATATAAATTATTCTAGCTTCTTGGACAGGCTAATTTATTCATTCTTCTTTAGTCACGTTTTGACACTACTAATTATTCACTTATCAACCTTGACTGTTTATTATATGAGCGTATATATGTGTGTGTACACTTCATGTTCTATTCATCATGTATGCAGCTTATTTTTGTGTGACTATAAGTATCGACTAACGCTTGCTTAAATGGAGTTGGCTTAAACGCCTTCGCTGAATGTCGTTTCGTTTCGTTTCACTCTCTTTTCTTCGCTTCACTCCTCTGAATGTCAGTCCAGATTAGTGAGTGTAAAAAATATACGTTTTCAAATATCCATTCTCGTGTTTGACTGACTTATTTAATTCTGTTATTCACTAACCCGGATTAAGTTGATAATTATTAACGAGGATAGGCGATATATATATTATTATTTACAAACATTTATATGATATAACTGGAGTCAAATTCCGGGCCTGATATAGAGTCTAATGTAGACGCTTCCTCTATACGCGTGCTCAATCAGCTACTTGAGTGAGAAGATCAATAGTTTATATCAGCTTCATCAGAAAGTTAAACTAAATCATGGCCAATAGTATGTGCCTGATGGCATTCTTTTATTTACTATTTGATCTATTTCATAGATCCAGAGCATGAAAAACCTCCATCATCTATTCGCTTATTTCTTAAGTAACATCTAATCATTTCCTTTAAAGAAAAATCTAATCTACGGGTTAGCTTTCCAATCTCTTGATATCCGTCCATTGGAATCTCTTCGTCAATAGTTCCGTCTTATTATCAGTTACTAATTAGCCACACATTGTATCGTTAGGGATCATTTATTGATCACATAAATAACTCAAAATGTTTGTCAGACTACAAGACTAATCGAAATAAAAGATCATATAAAACTCGATTCAATTCAATTTAATTAACTAAGAATTGATGCAAATGCATGACTTTAGTACTTTGTCATTCGTTTTTTCTTTTTTTGAACAGGACAAAATACGACAAATCGGGTTGAATAGAAGAAATCAAGATCAGAAGTACGTGTAACTGGATTAGTAGTGCAATTTTCTTTCTTATTTTTGTGTGATTTAACTCGATTTGTGACGATTTTTTGATTAATAATTTGTCATCAAAGTTTTTAAATGGTGGGAAAAAGAAACCGATCAATGTTAGAATAACATTGAAAACCTGAAAGCATTGGATAGCCGCTTCATCCTAGCATAGGACTCCTCAGCAGCCCACGACTACGCATGCAGGAATGGAACACAGGATATTCGGTCTCACGCGCGAACGCTTGGCTTCTTGACTACTGAGCCGACGCATTCAGCAGTGTTAATATCTAACTTCAATCAATCTATAACCTTGCCCAAACCTTCATCGGTCGCCTGAGGTAGACGACTCCCACAGCCGACACGGATAGGACTCAACTGGTCATGGCTTCTCACCAGAACTCTGGGAATTACCTCTAGAAGCTGGTCACCAGAGAGCACATGATAATTATAAGTATAAGGTGACCAGTGAAAATGAACCGTATCGAGTGTGGAAGGCGGTCGCGCAATATTGTCAGTCAGTCAGTCAGCTACAACGTAGGACCAGGCACATATGTGCATCGGTCCAGGTTGCCATACCTCATTAGCACAGCGAGATGAACACCGGATTCATAGGAATGGTTAGGTCAAAGGTTGCAATAAGGATATAGTATAGGAAGGAAGAATTAGTTCGTAGAAAGAAAAATATGAAGTGATTTTAATCTCACAGTTTAAGGGAAGACAGAGAGTGTATACACCGACGCCATTGTGATCGATTCTGAGTCATGTCACCAAGAGTCTCCAACCATTGGTTACGAAAGTCACGCGGACCCCAACCAAGTAGTCTGCATCTACCGACATGGCTCAGACTAGAAGTTAGTGACTTCAGGCACTGATGCCACGTTTTGGTTTGGCCGCCCCTAACTTTCTTCCAACCATCCCCTACACCGGTTAGCATTGCACGTCGTGGTAATCGGTGTTCAGGCATACGTAATACGTGGCCCAATCATCTCAGTCGATGAAGATTCATAACCTCATCAACTGATTTACCATCATTCCCTAATACCCTGCGTCTAACCTCACTATTACTTACCCGGTGATCCCAGCAGATGCCAGCAATATTTCTAAGGCATCTGTGGTCAAATACTAGTAGCTTACGGGTGTCTTCTACTCTTAAAGGCCATGTTTCGCTACCGTAAAGTAAGACAGAACGGACTGCCGCGCAGTATCCTCGTCCTTTTATTGATAGACGGATATCTCGCCTCCGCCAAAGGTGACGTAAGTTGGCAAAAGCCAAACGAGCAGTATTGTGGATTGGTTAAAATCGGACATTGACGTAGTTGGATCACGGCGGTCTAGAAGTTAAGCATTAGTGCGCGAGATCGAAGGTTCTGGGTTCGAGTCCCGCGTGCGGTGTCGTAGATGCGCGCTGCTGAGTAATCCCATACTAGGACGAAACGACCATTCAGTGATTCCAGATCCCCAGTGGTAGTCTAACATTGATCGGTTGATAATCTCTATGAAATCTCAACAATCTCTATAACCCTATGCTGACAGAACTGATTCTTTTTTAAAACTAATGAAGTTTATCACACAGGTGAATTACAGTGTAGAAATTTACGAGTAGAGTTCGATAAAAAAAACTATAACACAATTCTACCATCTATAAATCTGTCGGCACAGCAAGTGTGGTAAGTATATATAAACCGTGAAAATAATACCATGGCGTATATGTCAAAATACCTAGTAAATTATTTATGGACTTCAATCATGGTGTAATTAACAAAGTCTTGGGTAAGGTAAATCAATTTATTGTATTATGCAAAATCACATTATGCATCTGTAAAATATGAAAACAATACAGTGAATACAACAATTGCACAACTTCCTTACATTGTCGCTTCCAAACTCCATCGTACTTCCATTTCTGTTGCTAATTCGACTGCTTTTGATTTTATTTCTCATCTCCTCGTTTCCCTCTTCTATCAGTAAGAATCCTATTTCCAATTACCGATACATAGTACTAATATCTGCCAGTATAAGTAGAATATACCACAATGGTTATCAAGAAAAAATATCAATTTAAGCTGTTTTTACTTCCTAGTTGCAACTATGCAGTCAAAAGTTCCATGTCGAATGAATTGAAACCATAAATATATACGTATATCATTTAAACAGTATTTCTAACTTACCTCTATTATTGAAGCCTCCCTCATTGAACAGATATGATCGACCAACGGAATACCACGTGTACCATCTTGTCTTTTCGGTGATGGTACAGTAGCCAAAAGAACAACTGTAGGATGTTTTATATCACGTTGACTATTTGTAGGTAAATTCGAAATTGATGAAATCAACTTTTCAATTAGATAAGTGAACTTTGATGAGCATAGCTCCATTTTACCAATTTCGTCAATGATACAGACTATTAAATCATTTTTTCTTACATTGTTATTGGAAGAAACGTTTTCCAAATCGTTTATAATAGACTGTTGATTATTATCATTTCCAATAAGGAAGATAGACCAAAAGAAAAGAGGAAACTTTGAGTCTTTTTCACTAGATAAAATACTAATTATCTATTTATATTACATAATTTAAAATCACTTTGTTACAATGACCATCATGAATTACCTCAATGAAATTAGCTGACCTGTAAACAAGGAATAGCCAAACTCTCAAACGATGATATATTTACTAGGTACTGACCAACACGAGGTTGATGTTGTACTTGTTGACTAGAATGGTTAATTAGGCGAGCTAATGAAGCTCTAGGATATGTTCGAGATGAATCGAATAGAACTACATCAAATCCAAAACGAGTAGACTTTCCTGAATAGAACTGTCGAACTTCTTCTGTTTTAAAACCAACTGCCTGTATACCATTTTTAAGAAGCTCTTCAAAAACATGAGAAACCAAAGTGGTTTTACCGATACCTGTCAAAAGATACAAATTTACTTACAACCAAGTACATGTAAATAGAATAGGAAAATAAATATTCACATAACGCTGAAAGTAACATGTTAAGATATAGAAAAAAGCATCACAATATTTGAGTAATGTTCGGTACCCAATACGACTAAAGCATCAATAAATGACAGTTATCAATAATAATAAGTAGGAACTATTTACAATTATCAACAGTAAAAGATGACATGGAGTTTCTGTGAGAAAAGATATCTCAAATATATAGAAAAATTTAGCTCAAAAAATATCATTATTTTACGAAGACACAAAAGAACATAACAGTATTCGATAATTTGTATTATTCCAAACTAACCCATTCCTTCGGAAATACATTTCTTGGTCACTGGTAAGAGTGTGGAGTGATTATTTATTTCCTTGTGTATTCTAGTTTCTCTACATTCAATGTGTAAATTAACTTAAGTTTGAGGTTAAGAGTATGTATCGATGAATAATGCCACCCCCAAACCAAGTAGTGTAATAGGAACTTAATACTCGTTCTCAAACTTATGATTTGTGCTGAACCAAACTGACATCACGAAGGCGCCAAAGATGGCCCAGATTGGTATAAGCCGCTCTGGCTTTCACTATACGTGCGTTGATCTCATTACTCAGGCCACCACCAGCACTTATGCAGCTACCCAGATACACGAACGTCTCGACTACTTCTATCTGTTCACTACCCAGGGTGAGTACAGGATTAGAATCCTGCCAGTCTTGTAGAAGTACTTTGAACTTCGAAGGTGCAAAGCATATACCGTACCTACGGACACTGATTGCCAACTGATTAAGTGAAGATTGCATGCCTTGGGCATTACCGCACAGTAAAACAGTATCATCCGCATACTGAAGATTGAGAAGTCTTTCTCCAGGCAACAGATCCACACCTCCATTACTTACATCCATCAGAGCTGTTTCCAGAATGTCATCGATGGCAAAGTTGAGGAGGAATGGTGAGATTGGGCAACCCTGTATAACCCTACTGCTTGAATGGAGACAGGTGGTAGTATGCCCTCACTCTACCCGAGATGTTAATAAACTTCTCAGGCACACCCTTCTTCAATAGACAATCCCAGAGAATAGTCCTGTCCAACGAATCGAAGGCAACCCTGATGTCAAGAAACACTACGATTGTTGGCGTTTGAAAAGTATGGCGGTGTTCTAACATTTGGTGGAGGGTGAAGATATGATCAATACATCCTCGACCAGAACGAAAACCAGCCTGCTTCTCGCAAGTCAATCTTTCTCGAGTTCTGAACAACCTACGAAGTATGAGGGAAGCCAATAGCTTGGACGAAATCGAAAATAGACTTATCCCTCGATAGTTGTTACGGGAACGACGTGAACCCTTTTTAAAGATAGGGACAACTATCGACTCATTCCATGACGTTGGTACACTCTCTAGTTCCCAAACCTTTGTAAACAACGCCGTCAGTTCCTTAGTCAGAAAGTCACCACCATCTTTAAAAAGAGCCGGAGGTAAGTCATCTGGGCCAGGTGATTTGCAACGCTTCAAGTGTTGGAGTTCCTTGAGGACTTCCACCTCACTCGGTGGATCAGTCGTCACCGGCCATGGAGGTCAAGACAGTCTGACCGATGTTGCCGGAGCAGCAGGCCAGTTGAACTGCCCTTCGAAGAATTCTGCCCATCGTCCAAGACGTCGATGGATGTTAGTGATTGGCATCCCATCATCCTCGCAGATTGTTTCACTCACACCAGACTTCTTGCTGCCAGTGGCTCGGATGAGTTGGAAGAGCTTCCGGTAGTTACCAGATGCAGCTGCTGCTTCCAGCTCATTAGCACGCTTCGACCACCAGGCTTCTTGGTCCTTACGCAAGCTTTGCCCAATTTCGCTACGTAACAACCTTCGTTTGTGGTCAAACTCACGGTCACCCGGAGTAGACCGACGGGCTTCAGTGAGTTGTAAGGAACCAGAAGAAACCCAATGCTTATAAGCGGGACGTTTCGCGAAGCCGCAAGCGGCTTTACTCATCATTGTCATAGCGTCATGCAATTGCAACCAGTGCTCATCTATACTTTTTGGTGGAATAGTAGCTAGCCTAGAAACTAGCTCGGTTCGATACTTACTAGCAACAGAAGTTGCAACCAGCTTGCTAACATCAATCCGTTGGTGGCGGTCACTTCGTTGTACACTGAAAAGTAAGGTAAGATTGGCGCAGACCAGAGCATGATCAGAGTTCAGATAGGTACTCCAAAAGGAGCGGCAGTCTTGTACACAACCACGCCAGCGGTAGCCGATCGCGATATGATCAATCTGAGTCCAGGCTTGAGATGCAGAGGGAGGATACCAGGTGGCACGTCGACAATGACTGTGACGAAAACTAGTGCTAGCCAGAAACAGGTTGTGGTCTGTGCACAGTTGCAGTAGACGATCCCCATTATCTGTCCTGCGACCAACAAGTCCCTATCGGCCACCTAAACGATTCTCTTCTGTGCCCATACGCCCGATCTGACCATTCAAGTCTCCGGCTAGTACTACGACATCTGTCGAACGCACTTTCTGGAGAACAGTTAAGTGGTGGCAGAATTCATGTTTGATTGCATCCGGGCTGCAATCTGTCGGGGCATAGGCGGAGATGACAAAAAAACATCGTTTCTCACGACGACTACTACCAATCACAGAAGAAAATGATTGAAGCATCAGTACATCAACCTGTGCCCCCAAATGCCTTGGTACGGCCGAGAGTGGGGAGAGTGCGCTCTCCCTCTCGAAATGCTCTCACATGGCCACGCGTATATAGCCTCTGTCAGGGAAGTCCTACTCATTGCCTTCTCGTGGCGGGGGTGTTGTTTACGAAAATGAGAGGACGAAAAGCGAATGTCCGGTGCTTTAACCGGATTACAAACCAATGGTGCACATGGGCTCCAGTATCCTAAAGGAACAAATGGCGTATGAACTAATCATTGGTCACCGGCTACCATGGGACTGCATCTCCTCACGATGCTCCACTGCCTTGTGGATCAGACCTTCAGGTCAAAGGCTCGGGGTGTGGCCCCCTAAGAAAACCACCTGCTTCGGTTTGGGCACCCATGCAGTATCACAGTCCTCACACACACCGAATGAGATGTGTGGCGCATATATATTTGGTGCCTCTTTGTACCAATATCTATATGTTGAAAGAAATAAACAACATCAACCTGTATTTAGAAGCCGCGTTTTCAAAATAAACTGTACTTCTCACCCATAATTTTCAAGTAAAAAAGGAACCTTCACGTATCTAAAACAAACACTTATCATTTATTATATGTGTCTATATTAATTAGATAAATATGTTATATAAAGACATAATTTTAAATACATGAAGCCAATTAAAGCAATTGACACACACCTGGCCTCCCTGTAACTAGCAAAATATTAGACGTTGACATAGTGTGAGGGGTACCTGTTGAAGTTGAATAAATTCAAGCCTCCACACACTGGGAATGATTGTTTCTGGTTTAACTTGCACGTAACAGGTATCTCGTAAACTGAAAAATAAGAAGGCCATTACACTAACCACAAAAATGTATAATATAACTCCAATAGTGTATAGACAAATAGATAAATTCCGAACCGAGCAAAAATAATCAACGTTATAAAAATCCCACACAGATCAAGGTCTTATACAAACCGTATAAAAAAATAAGAAAATCTAAGGCTATATTGATACACTATATAAAAATGAACAGATTCAGTTAATTCTATCCTAAGAAGACATGTACTACTTCATGTGTGAGCTTATCCTGATAGCCTAAACTAATCATATTTGAAGCTGATAAAAAGAAAAAGCTTGAACAAAATGACACTAACAGATTTCGCCAGAACATAAAGAGGAAATAAAACAGTTTAACCCCACTTTTTTCATCAAGTTACTTTTTCCTCTTTTTTGAGCAACAGGAGAGTTGTCACGTAACTAGCATTTTTACACTAAAGTCATAAAACAGTGAAAACTTTTAGGGAATTAATTTGTTCAAAAAATTTCTCTACAACCATAAAATGAATTTAACATAGTGCGTAAGCCAAAGCGCAAGATGTATGTGCTCGTGGTGCAGATTGTACGACATCGTAAAAGCCAGTAACAACTGTCAATACTACTGCCTGCTTTTAGTGTTTCTCTTATAGAGAAAGAGTGGAAGTATTAACAGGTGGTAAGATTGTGTAGCCTTTTTGTTGTATTTTCTGTGATATCAACAGAAATACTCCTTGATTATTGGTATTTTAAACGGTTATTTATCTATTCGGTTTCAAGCCCCAGAACGGACTCTTCTAGCTACGGCAGATACTGAAAGTTATAATAACTCTAGCTTAGATGGTAGAGCACATAACGTTGTTTCGTATTGACTTCGGGGTTTTGTTGTCTTTGCCGCTAGCGACGCAACGCTAGATCGTGTCGGAACATATTTTACATAATTGGTAGAATTTATGTAAGGGGTATGACTATGTGTCAAGTCCAAAATCTTATCAGACATTCCGGTCAGATTCGTCAAGTCTAAAAGCTCGTCAGCAGCCTAAAAGATTTGCCTTACAGTTGTTGGCAAGCATTGCATCCATATTTATTATTTTTAAAAAGTCATCGATTTTGCAAAATCCAACTAATTACTTCATCTGTCACAATAACTTGACCCGTTCCCTAGCTCTCACTGGTTCAGTGGATGTAGTTGTTTCCCATCTGATAAAGGTTTGTTGAATAATCTTTAACCTATTATAGGCTTTCGCACTGCGAGACTGTTTATGAAATTAGACACCTCTGCTGCAACTTATGTTAGTAGAATTTCCAACAAGTATATATTTTGAGGCCTGTGAGCGTATGTTGGGACGAAGAAATTGGACTTCAATTCATATACACAGGTTTCGTGTACTCAGTAGTGGTAAGTTCATCGAACTTAACTTAGTTAATCGATTCCTTGGTCTCAGTGTTTATAAGTTTGATAAATATACTCCGTTCCAAGAAAGTGCATGATCAAGTGAGCAAAAAATGTACCAAAGAAAAAACATGTCAAACGATCAGAGTGTGAACTCAAATATATATATATATATATATATATATATATATATATACCACAAGAATAGATAAACATGATGACCACAATCGTTAGTATCACAGAAAATATGCCGACAAAACCAGAAATTATGTCACGTCCCGCAAAATTTTTGAGTCATTTTTCCTGTCGGAAAACGTATCGATCAGACAGTAATGGCGACTGCTGGAACTAGTTGGGCTCCTAGTCGCCTCGTTCATATTCTGGACAACACTTCCGGCTAAAAAATTCCTAGTAGACACTAGAGCCGAAGTTAGTGCGATCCCAGTTACCTTAGCCAGGCAACCGATTGCCAAAACTGAAGAACTCTTTGAGTGCAACTAGTAAAACCGAGAAAAGATGTTTGAAAAACAACTGCCGACATTAAACAGATATCTTTAAGAGATGCGTCATCAACTTTTTAAGAACTAATCAGTCCCATAACTCACATCCATTTAATAGTCATTGTAGCAGTTTATCATTCGACGAGGAAATTTACTGGATAATCATTTACTCTAACTGATTTTATGCATCAGAAAAGGGCACATTGTCTATCAGGTCTAAGAGCGCTGATGCGAATTCTGTGAGCGGACTTATTCACGATGTAACAATGAACAATGTTATTATTAATATACGAGAAATAAACGTTAACACTATAAACCGAACTGACTACATATAGGCACGGTTAAAACGTTAGAGCCCTTCGAATCTGCCCACCCTTTCGGTTCAACGACCTTGAACGGCCTGAGCAGAGGTAGTCATTCCGTATTTCAATTGTCGTGGGTTAGTTGGATTGCATGAGTATCAAGTTTTTTTCATATATAAGTCATCTTATGTTGCATTAAAAAGCACAAAGTAACTACCAAAAGTATTGATCTAGCATTCTGTTTTGTAGTGTACACGTTGGCTCTGTTGTTGCTTTGTAACTTGATCTGTGATCCCAACAACTGTAGTAAACCTCAACGAAATGTCAAGTCACCGGTAAATCCTAAGTATTTGTAGTATTTCCTTGGATTATTATTGTTGCAAGGAATAACATTTTTATAATTAATGATCTTTGTTTGTAGTGCTTCATGCTCAAGTGACATTTCAATGGACCTTAGCGATGGTTGTGAACAAGCGTTTCGCATGCTGGGATGATTTTGATAGAGCGCTAAAAGAGTTCCAATAAGTATGGATGAATAATTTTATCCCTTCTCAGACTACTTATACTCGTTACATCCACACGGAAAGCAAGTTCCTTAAGGATGTCAAGTTCAAATACCTGTTTGTAACGTTTCACTGTACATTTGGTCATCAGCGGAAATCGGAAGTTTTGAAATTGAAGCAAAAACCGTGAGGACTTTAACTAATATCTGACCTTTAAGGTCTAAATTCCGTAATTGCTAATCAAAGTTCCGTGTAAGACTAGAGGAGCAAGGATACGTCATCAAATCCTACAACATGCTCCACAATCATCCATGTAGTAGTTCATGGATGGTTTGTGATCCATGGACAAGAAGATTGTCATCCGAAGAAAAAGAAAACTTGAAGCCAGTAATATTGCACTGTCAGTCAGCAGATGATGTTATAGGAAATATTAAGGAGAGAACTGGTAAGCAGGTAACCGCTGCCGATGTCAAAGCTATGAAACGTGAACTCTCCACTGGTAAGTGTATAGAAATATATTTCAGGTTGCACTCGAAAGCAGGTACTGCATATGCGGCGACAAAAAGGTGAAGTGAGGGAACATTTGGAAAATGAATATGTAACGAGAATATGTTTCAGTAGTTATGACCAAATACACTTGTACAATAAATATCCGGAAGTTCTGTGTATTGATTCTACGTATGATACTAATAATAATAAGTGATTATGTTTTTCCTTGTATTCTACTTTGTAGATATTCATTATTCCAGTTGGTTGTAACAGATAATTTTGAACCAGGAAGTACTGTAATGTTTGCGTGGACGCGAAAAGAAATGCGTGCAGATGTCATCTGGATTCTTGATAAATTCAAAGAAATCATGGGAAGCACAACAGAACAGAAACATTTGTTATGGACTGCGCACGAGCAGAAAGCGCGGCTGTCCGTATCCTACACGGGCATGCAAACATAATTATGTGCACCTTTCACTTAATTCTCACTTTCCGTAAAAAGCACACCTCTGGTTGCTTAAATAAAATTGCCATTAGACACATGACAAGATAATGAGAACGTACCTGACTCGATTGGTAACTGCAGAAACGGTTGGAAGGTATTTTTAAATGTATTTATTCACCAGATTTAATCAATATTTCAGAATAATAAACCAGAGAGACAGACTGATAGGCCATTACCTATCTCGTTTTTGGATGTCACGTAAAGCAATGTGGGCGCTTGCGTTTTATGGCAATATTTTAACTTCCGTTGCGAAACGGTCACCATATTTCTCAGTGATGTGATGCCTAAAAACTCTTTGTCGTCGTAGAATCCGTATATACTCATCACTCCGTCTCGGCATATTGCTTAAACAACAAGTACAATCACTTAATGATAAATGTACATGCAGTGAAAAGTTGACAAAATAAGTACAAATAACATCGAAAACTATTCACAAAATAAGCTTGTCGTGCATATCCCCACATATGTTCTTCGATGACCGATATGCATCATAATGCACTTGGAAGCATTTATCGATAACTGCCGAATTCTGGCCTATTTGAAATTTTTTCACAGGTCGTTTTGAAGGTCTAAACTTTCACCCTCACTTTCTATATTTCTGCGTATCTTGATATCGTTAGCAAATAACAAAACCGATGACGATTGGAGATTAAGAAGATCGTGTATATACGAGAGAACTAAAACGTCCTAAATCAGTACTCTGAGGCACTCCGTTAAATAAGGTTTCCCGACCGACAACTTGGATTTCACTCGTGCCCTCTGTTGGCGCTCAATCGCAGTATTACTTAAATTCATTAACACCTGTTTTCTATGAACTTTTTGTAAGCCTAACTGAAGCCTGTGAGGGTTCCATCTATAGGTAGCTTCTATTCTTAAAGAGCTCACCAGCTTTCGAGGGATACTAATAAATTTGCGAGACATGAATAACCTGTTCTAAAACCGTACTGCTTTTCATAAAAAACGCCGTTTTCTTCCAGTCATTCTATAAGTTCTTTCGAATATTCCTCTTCAGTCTCCAGTAATAAAGATAGTAGGTTGGTGAACTTGTGTTAATCCTGACATACTGGCCTCCAGTGAAGATTCAGCTTCTCCTTGAAAATATTCACTGATGGGGCTGATACCACTTTTTCATGTATAGTGTTACAGTAATTGACTGTACCCCACTTTAAGTTCATTTGATCGCGATTTGTGAGCCCTGGAGATTTTAGCGCTGGAGGAAGCAAAAAGATGAGTCATATTATTACTCAAATCATACTTAAAGATACGAAATGTCAGTATAAGATCACCTCGCGTCCTACGATACGACAAGGGGAAAAGGCTTAAAAGGTTTAAGCGCTCACCGCAAAGGAGTTTGGAAAGACCGTTCACTAAATTTGTTCCCACAAGCTGAACACGCTCAAGTGAGCTAGTATCCTTTATCAGACGTGAGCTAGCTGCTCGGATACAGTACTCTAAATGTGGTCTTACATAGGTGAGATATAAAATTCGAAACATTTCCTCATCAAATCATTTGAATACTCGGCGAAGTGACTATAGATAACGAAAACCTTTGACAGCAGCTGCGTTACAATGAGTAGTTGTTTTCACGTCATGGCTTGGGATTACTCTTAGGTCTTTATGTTCTTGAACGCGTGAAAGAGATGTACCATCAATAGTATAAATGTAACTATTAACGTGTCCGATGTGCATGAGCACAATCTTCCTAGAAATAACTTATAACGTGATGTGATGTTCACAGATTTTAGCAAAGCATTTGACAAGGTTTCACACTTTGGTCTTATGCAGAAGCTTTTAAGCTTCGGAATAATAGGTGCCATACAGGAATGGATAGGAAACTTCATATGTGACAACAGACTGAGAATGAGGGTCAATGGAACGCTATCCGAATAGAAGCCGATCAAAAGTGGTGTACCCAAGGTGCCATTTTAGGCCCTCTACTTTTCCTTCTCCACGTTATTGAATTACCGCTGTTGCTTAAGTCATCGACATTATTGTTTGCAGATCATGTAAAAATCTGGAGAACAGTAATAAGTGAGGCTGATCATTTGGATCTCCAAGCTGACTTAAATGACTTGGTTAGATAGACTCGAGGCTGCTGTCCAATCCTTTCACTCAATAAGTTAGTCAAGCATGAACGCTTGTTATGAAACTCATGTTGCTCGGGAGTTAACAGATTGTGTGAATCTCTGTGACTTAGTAACCTAACCCGAATTATCTTCTCAAGTAACTTGTCGATTATGCTGATTAGACTGACAAACCGGTAGTTAGATAGGATCTGCCTCTGACCATCCTCAAATGTAGGACTAAATATAGCGTCTTTCCAGTCTTTAGGGAGTTGAGCGAGTGAAAGGGACATGTTGAAGAGTGTCGCGAGCAAGAGATGACAGTGGCTGTGAATGTAATCCGTCAGTGCCCGGTATCTTATAAGGTTTGAGATTAGTTATCAATGGAAGAACAGTTTCGTCAATCAAATGTACAGATCCAATGGCTGGTATCTCGGTGTGATTGGGACAAGTATCGGCAACAATACGCGTATAGTAAACTTCGCTAAAATAGTTTGATAGTCCTAGTTTTTGCCCGATCTGATTCAGATAGTGAATCTGAATTTTCGTGTAACAGTAACAGGGAAATACTATCCTTACGTTTTACTCGTCGTCCAATATACGAAAACGATCGCTTCAGACAAGTGCAACTATCATATGCCAACTGTTGTTCGTAAATTGTATAGGATTTAGCTATGGTGTTTATGCATATGCTCCGGATTTTTTTATATTCACACTTAAATGATGCGTGTCCTGTTGATAAGAATAAGTCCCAGAAGTGTTTCCTGAGCCTCAACAGCTTCCGGGTTTCCTTATTAATCCATAATGGGCAATGCGATAGTTTACGTGTTGACCATGGGATAAACGGACTCGAATTTAGCCTTAAACGTATTCCATTCGTTTTCGATCGATCCATCCACGTCAACCGACCAGTCAGTCGACATAGCACTGTCTCTGATTGCCGGAATATTAGCTCGCCAGATATTGAGACGGAGTGGTACAGATACAAGTTGTATGCCATGTGCCCTAAACTTAAATTAGAGTACAACGTGATCACTATTCACTAGTGGGGGAAGGTGCTGAATGTCGATGACATCCTCACAGTGGTGTGTGAAGACAAGACCCACCAATGACGGGTCATATTACAAGTCAAGGTTTGTTGGTTTTGCGATACACTGTACTAGTGCACACTGAATAATGGTTGACAGAAGGTCGACATCGAAACCCTCACCTGGAGCTGTAATCACCTTAAAGTTAGGACTGGAATATGTTATCGACAATGCTAGTCCCAATGAATAGAGCTACTCCTTTACGTCCATGGGTTTCGTCGGTTTGTATCAACGTACACCTAACAAAGTCAAGTCCCCCAGTGTTTACAAACTGTGTCAGGCAACTTTTGTGATGGTGACTACATCAAGCTTGGCGGTTTCTATACTTACACCTGGTTCCGATCGCTTTTCGAGGGGTTTCCGTAGGTTTGTGTAACAGATCTGAAGACCATTTAGGTGATTACGTGCTGTACAAGATGTGGCTTTGGTATCAATCTCTGTCGAAGCTGCA